TTTGCTCTCTGCATCTACTTTCGCACCTTGAATGTGGAACCCTCCACGGTCTCCACTAGAAGAACATAAATATTAACTTGAGGCTCTTTTCAGCCTCTGTTTACACATATTTCAGCAATTGATTTTTAATTATTTGCTTTTGTCCATGTTATCTGAAAATAATGGACTGAAATTAAAATCATTGTGATTTTATGATCATCAGCTGGGTGATTATTGAAAACCATTTGAAGGTATGATACTATTTTTGTTGTTGTTTTGCAAGTGCGGATAATAGAAATAAATGCCGCCTTCGCTCCCACACCAGAAGTCTACTAATTGCCACAAAGGCAGAGGATGGACATGTAAAGGTGGCTAGCTGGGTATGTAAGGTCCCAGTTCCTTACGTGAACTTGAAATATCATATCAATCTAATCAGATAACCCAAGCAGAGACTTCTTGATCAAGCAACATTTTATTTGATCAAATTAAGCAGCTGGGTGGCCAATAATTTGGAACACTGGCAGAGTTATGTCCAGAAGTGCCACACCTTAGAAAGTTGGTAGCATTGCTTTATAAACTTTGTTAGCCAATGAAAATCAGACAACAGAGCCATTACATCATACAGAAGACATCAATCATTCCTGTACACTCCCTTATTCCCTCCTTCATTACATCCCATCCATGTACATGATTCTCAAGCCTGCATGAGATTTCCCTGGTACAAAAGCTGATTACAAAAAGCAAGAAAGCAACAGTTAGATTATACAATTTCCCTTTGTTCCAGAATCCTTCAGGTAAATAGTTATTTACCAAACATGCCAACCTTTGAATCATGGAGCTATGAGAATAAGACTGTACGTAAAGAAATAACACATTTATACAGAAACCTAGCAAATCCTTTTGAAAGTATTTAAGCAAGAATAAAAGAAAAGAGGAGCAAGTGATAATACTGTGAATATTTGTCTTATGTAAGTATGTATGCATGCATGCATGTATGTATCGTACAGCAATGTTACCTTAGCCAGGAGTCTACAATGCTAACGCAGAGAAAGCCTGCCAGCCGGTTCTGTTCGGACTTGGATGGGGGCACTGCAGGGGCCGAGCTGGCTTCTCCCCAGCAGAGCATATAAACAAGTAGAAGGTGGTCTTCCTGCATGAGAAGATCAGTCTTTCAAAGAGACAGTAGTGATAATGGGAGATTTAAATTATCCTGACATCTTCTGGGTACCTCTTTACCAAGAGGTGCCCCTTTCTATTTAAGGGTTTTTTAAATCCTGCCTTTGTTTTTATAAATAAGTCAAGGTGGCAAAAATACTCCTTCCTCCTCCTATTTTCCCTACAACATCAACCCTGTGAGGTGGGTTGGGCTGAGAGAGAGAGTGGTTGGCCCAAAGTCACCCAGCAGGCTTTGGTGCCTAAGGTGGGACTCAAACTCGGAGTCTCCTGTTTATTAGCCCATCCAGTCGGCTTTGATGCCTAAAGCAGGATCAGAACTCACTGTCTCCTGGTTTCTAACCTGGCCAAAACCTGGTCTAACTAGATCAAACCTGCTCTCTCCCTTGTCTTCCTTCTTTTCAGAAGTGAAAGAAAGAAGAAGGGGGTCTGCTACTATACTTGTAAACCTCACAATAGGGAGGGATCAGTTGCAAGTATCTGGCATCTTGGGGAGCTTTATGGACTCCAAGGGAAGGGAGGTTGGGTCCAGTGGGTTCAGATCCCGAAGAGAGAAAATATCCAGGAAGGATGAGAAATTCCGCAAAAGGAGGTACTAAAGCTACAATCACTAACAGTCTCTACATGAAGGAAAAACAGGAGATATCAAAAGAGAATGGAGTAGAGCAGTGATGGCCAAACCTTTTAGAGACCGAGTTGCCCAAACTGCAACCCAAAACCCACTTATGTATTGTTGGGTGCCGGGTGGGCGTGGCCCATTGGGTGGCTGTGGCTGCTGTGGTAACGGCAGACTGGATGGGACTAAAAAGTTCAATCAATCAATTCCAACTTTGTGAGATCTTTTTTTTTTCTGTGAAAAGTTGAAATCGACTGATTGAACCTCTTTTTTTTGCACACGGTGGTGGAGGCCTAAAGTGAAAAGGTTTTATAAAACCCAACTGAAGGCCTAGGACTGAGGCGATGGTGCGTGTGCCCAGAGAGAGGGCTCTGCGTGCCACATAGGTTCGCCACCACAGTAGACAGTACACAGCACCCACAAATACTGAGGAGAAAAGGGAATAGCATCACCATCAGATGGATTTGTAAGTGGCTGATAAACTGTACTTAGCCATGTAGTCCTTAATAGAACTACCGTATATGCCGGCGTATTAGGCGACCCGGCGTATAAGACGACCCCCGTCTTTATAGCCGGGCTGCATTCCTAGAACGTCATCTTATACGCCGGAAACTACCAGTATTTCTGGCGTATAAGACGACTCGGCGCATAAGACGACCCCCGTCTTTGGTGCTGATTTCAGCGCTCGCGGAAGTCGTCTTATACGCCGGCATTTATGGTACATCTACATGGAGGGAAGTGAGCAGTGGCGTACCCCAAGGTTTAGGCCCAGGACTCTTCAATATCTTCGTAAATGACTTAGATGAGGAAATAGAAGGGGAACTCGTCAAATTTGCAGACGTCAGTCTGAAGATCCAGATGAATCTTGACAAAATTGAACAAGGGCCCTATCAAATACTTGGCCCTGGCTGCACTGGTGGAGCCTCCCTGTGGAAAGGGGGGTGGGCTTTGGCAGCTTCCCCTTCCCTTTGCTCTTTAAGCATAAAGAAAGAGAAAGCAAAAGTTTCACAATCTTTGCTTTACTGACATATATGATTTTAATATCTATTAAAATCAGGGCAATGTCAGAGAGTGAAATTGCAACTCCCTCCCTTTACTATATTTCCACCAGAGCCTGTTTCTCTGTTTCTCTCTCCAGGGAGCCAAAGAGACTGAAAACACTTTGCACATGTTTGTATTTTCATATCAACTGAAAAACAATTTCTTAACATTGCCATATGCAATTAAAAACTCCTGCTAAGTGATTTAAGTCAGAATCCAAGCGAAAGGATCCCATGAAGACAGAGGCCTCTGCTAAAAGCCACACAGGACAACACATGTCATTTGTGCAGGGAGATAATGTTACTTCCCAACCCATGGATGCCCTAAAAATCCAAAGGTGTCCAAATATCGTTACCAAACTGTAAGTATTAATGAGTTGGAAGGGGCAATATTAAATATGTGACTGGATAACAAACCTATTAAACATAATGTTTAAAGAATTTATTTGCTCCAATTTTCTGAGCCGGGTCACAAATAAACATATACAATAAACACAAATGGGCAGCTGCCAGGGGTAGAGTTTATTCATTCAACCATGTACAATGGTTGAAGGTAGCCAACAACATTAGAGCTGTACTACTATTATAACAAGTGGGCTTTGATGTTTAGATACGCAGATTTAGGTTCCTGCCTTAGGCTGTGATTGTGATTGCCCTGAGAATGTGTTAAATCCGAGAAGGTAAATCCTTCTTGGGTGTGGATTATTATGAGAGGGTCATAATCCAGAAGTTTGATGGAGCCACTGAGTCTAAGTGTTAGGATTGTATGTTTATTCAGTGGACTGAGGTTGCTAAAGGGAAATGGGGGGGGGGGATGAAAAGCTTTTAACTTTCAATGTTTTTTCTATGTTCTTTTTCTATTTAAATTCTAAATATGAATATTGAAAGTAGATGAAATGGGATCACATGAAGCTTTTGCTTTGGCCTCACCCACCATCCCCGAAAAGCAAGTCCAAAGAAGCCTTCAGCCCTGCTCACTTGGGAGAGAACTGTTCACTAACATTTCACACCTAGGATTCACACCAGGGAATCTCATGCCCTTTAGAAAACAAAGCTGTTTCCTCTTGGTCAACACAGAGCTTTTTCAAACATCTTGCAATCTTCTTGATTATCATGGAGGTCTGTGGAAAGGGAGCAGAATAAGAACACAGCTGACTTGCTTTCTCCAACTCTGCAAAGAGAAACCCATTAAATGTGGAGACTTTATCATTCTTCTCTAAGAGCATTGGCAGGAGGGCAGTGAATCCAGCAAAGGAGAAAGCTCTTCCTGAAGGGCATCAGCACAACCACATAAGCTCCTTCCTAGGTGATTGCCAAGCCAACAACACACAAGAGTCTGTGCCTGACTAATTGGAAGACTGGGACATCCATAGGGAGTAGCAGCTTTAAAAAATCTGAAAGAAGGGCTTCAGCTAGACAATTGAAGCCCTGCCCCCTTTTTTTATGGATATCCAGCGGTGTGAGGCTTTGATCACAACACCTCTATTAAAGGAGTAGGCTTTGATTGTGCAGCTGAAGCCTCAACTTCACTCCTTTAAGACAGAGAGACACAAAAACCCCATGATCATCCCTGTTCATTGTGTTTATCAAATGCTCAGTGGTTGCTACCAACTTTCACCTTATCAAATCCCAAATCCTAAGAGACTCTGCTTCATTCAGTACTAACACTCTGGATTCCAACTTCATATTAATCCAAAAGGGGCCTACATGTTCTGCCCTTCTGTAGAGCAGTGTTTATTTTATCAAATTTCTATACCAGCTATCTCACATAAATGATTTTGGCAGTTTGCAAACAATATGCTGGCTGAGGAATTCTGTGAGTTGAGATCCATTCATTTACAGAATTCTGCCAAAGAATTCTTTCCTCTTAGTCAATATTAGATTATTTCACTTTAAAATAGACTAATGAATAAAAACAAGCCTAGGAAAATATTTGAATGCAGGACAGAAAAAGCTGCAGTATTTGTCTGCCAATTAGAGAAGGGGGAAAAAGAAACCTAATTTCAACCTAATTATTGTTAATTTAAGCAATAACCCCAAAGCTACCATTTCCTGATGTTTTGCAGTGTGATTCATTGGTTCAAAATGTTTATAATGTTTATATGAGGACAAACGTGCTTTTGATCAGATGGAGGAATACAGATAGTATATTCTAGGCAAACTGCAAACAAAAAATTTCAAATAAATGCACATTTTAGTGTCAACATTTTTTAGTCCAAAAAACTCCCGTTCAACAAACCAAACCTGCCAAATTTGCAAGGAGAAACAGAGAAAGCAGAGTCACCAAATAAGGGGAGGGTGAATCGACGTTTTGCCCAGCCCTGCATCAGCTTCTCTTGGGCAGGGAGAAAAGTCTAAGCATCTGCTACTGGGTGGGTGGAGTTGCTAGGCTGAAAGAAGCCCATTTGGAGGTCCATACAGGAGAACCCCCAGTTGGGAGGAAGAGGACCCTGTTCAGATAAGGCAAGTTGATATGCGTTCATGTGGAAGGGCCAAGATGAATGTCCTTCAAAACTCAACTCTTGAAGATGTAGCAAGATCTACTCTTTCCTGTTACTAGTTGGCCATCAGTTCCCCAACTGCTTCTCAGCTACAAGGATCTCATATTCATTGTCCATCTTTTCACCTATTACCACGTACTCAGCAGCTTTGGTCGGTTCCATAGTGTAGTTGTTACCAAAACTTGAATTCGGTTCCTCATACACGCAGGTACTGTTGACCCCTGGACTGGCTGGGATGTCTTCATTGCCCAGGGTGAGGGCATTAATGTTGCTGAATTAGACAGAAGATGGTGAAATTAGGCATGCAAGACAGGGTGTTCCACTTACCCAGAAAATGCAAGCCTGGTGAAAGATGCCGTTGCACAACACAATTTTTGTAGGGCTGACTCAGAAAGATTCCCATTTGCTGCCTCTGCAATTAGCCTGCCTGCCTCAATTATCAGCTGCCTTGCAGAGAACATGATCTATTTTGAGACCCGCAGTTCTGCTTTTAAAATGCACAAAGGGTAACTTAGTGACATTTGTCCAGCACAAACCACCCTGATCCCACTTGCTTTCTGCTCTTCCTCTCAAAAACATGCACGCATAGAGAGAGGGGGGCCAACCAGAGAGGAGAAAGAGAAAAGAATAAGAAGCTTGTATGGGGGAAATAAAAAATGTATATGTAGGGAGATATGGTTTTCTCAAATCACTCTCAGCCCCTATAATGATGGGTGACACTCTAGCTCGGTGATTCTCAACCTTTCTAATGCCTTGACCCCATAATGCAGTCCCCCATGTTGTGGTGACCCCCAAGTGGGTGTGGCCACCAATAAGAGGGAGTAGAACAGCTAGGGAAAAGGGAAAAAAATGGCGGACAGCCTTGTTTGGCGACCCCCGTGAAATGGTCGTTCGACCCCAAATGGGGTCCCGACCCACAGGTGGAGAACCACTGCTCTAGCTGCATTTACTATGTAACAATGGTGGACTGTTGTGATCTAAAGTAAAAGCTGAATGTGGAGACACTCAGGGTATAGTCCCAGATCTGGTGCAATGGTCAAATCTTATGGCAAACTAAATTATGGGTTGAAATCATCCAGCCTTTTGAAAAAGAAAAAGAAAACTGGTGAAATGCAATTTTTAAAATCTTGCATAGCCTGCAACAAAACCATTAACTGGATTCATGCAACACAATTCAGCAAGATCAACTTAATCTCTTTGCTGGTTTGAACAATATAAGTGATCCCGTTCACTAGCCACACAGGCAGGGCTCACACCACATATTAAGGCATGCATAAACGCACACATATACAAACACATACATGTACAAACACACAAACCAATTCAGCTTTTGGACAAAGTGAAAACTGCACATTGTGAGCATTTATCTGACCTGGGTTAAGGGTGTTAACAGAGCCATAGTGGGACATCAACATACTACTTGGTAAGATAGAAAAATGTAGGTTAGACAGCATCACCACCAGATGGATTCATAGCTGGCTGACCGGCCGTACTCAGCGAGTGGTCCTCAATGGAACTGCATCTACATGGAGGGAAGTGTGTAGTGGGGTGCCCCAGGGCTCTGTTCTAGGCCCAGTGATCTTCAACATCTTCATCAATGATTTGGGCAAGGGGATAGATGGGGAACTCATCAAATTTGCATTTGGCACCAAGATGGCAGGAATAGCCAACACTCCAGAAGACAGGCTTAAGATACAGGAGGACCTGGACAGACTTGAACACTGAGCGCTATCTAACAAAATGAAATTCAATGGTGAAAAAAGTAAGGTTCTACATTTAGGCAAGAAAAACCAAATGTACAGGGGGTACCTTGCTCAATAGTAGTAACTGTGAGAGGGATCTCGGAGTCCTAGTGGACAATCACTTAAATATGAGCTAGCAGTGTGCTACAGCTGCCAAAAAAGCCAACACAGTGCTGGGCTGCATTAGCAGAGGGATAGAATCAAGATCACATGAAGTATTAATACCACTTTACAATGCCTTAGTAAGGCCACACTTGGAATACTACATCCAGTTTTGGTCACCACGATGTAAAAAAAGATGCTGAGACTCTAGAAAGAGTACAGAGAAGAGCAACAAAGATGATTAGGGGACTGTAGGCTAAAACATATAAGGAACGGTTGCTGGAATTGGGTATGTCTAGTTTAATGAAGAGAAGGATGAGGGGGGACATGATAGCAGTGTTCCAGTATCTCGGGGGCTGCCACAAAGAAGAGGCAGTCAAGCTATTCTCCAAGGTGCCTGAAGGCAGGACGAGAAGCAACGGATGGAAACTAATCAAGGAGAGAAACTTAGAACTAAGGAGAAACTTCCTGACAGTTAGAACAATTAACCAATGGAACAACCTGCCCCCAGAAGTGGAGAATGCTCCAACACTGGAAGTTTTTAAGAAGAGACTGGCAGCCATTTGTCTGAAATGGTGTAGGGTTCCTGCCTGAGCAGGGGGTTGGACTCGATGACCTCCAAGGTCCCTTCCAACTTTATTATTATTATTATTATTATTATTATTATTATTATTAATTATTACTACTACTACTACTACTACTACTACTACTACTACTACTACTACTACTACATCAACCCAAGAAAGCTCAGGAAGCCTCTTTTAAGAGCTCTGGGCTCATCCTGGAGGGGCAGAAAAGTCCACCAACAGAAAGTCCTGCCTTGCTTGCTTGGTTTCCTATTTTTTCACTGCCCGTCTCGCTCAGAAATGGCTCAGTTAAGGATAACATAAGCTTCCTCTTTTACTTGGACACCAGAGGTTAAATGAAGGCAAGAACAAAGGGGCATAACAGAATGAATAAATAAATAAATAAGTCGGGGGAAGGGACTGATTATGCTGTGGTTCACTGCAAGTATGGATGCAGCATCTAGCACAGTGTGTCCCAACCTCAGTCACTTTAAGAGGTGTGGACCAATTGCCAGAATTTATCAGCCAGCATGCTGAGAAAGCCACACCAGTTAAAGTGACTGGGACACTTGAGGCACACTGCTGGCCTTACGATCACTTGAGGCAAGCCTACCAATTCTTCTGCAAAAGTAGCAATAAGAGACAACTGCATCTTCCTATGATCTCATGCATAGAAAGATGAAATCTGTGACTCTTTGGTTATTGCTGAATTGCAGTGCCACGTGCCCCACCCAGGACATGCTGGTGGGATGGTGCTAGAAAACACCCTCAGCTCTTTCAGCACCAATATCACTGTGGCTGTCATTGTGGCTGTGTTGCATAACATTCTTAACCCAGGTCAATTTCCACGTTGTGCAAAAGCTTGACTGGTTTTAATTTTTTTTCTCTTTGTTCTTTAATGTGTTGTATGAACTCTACATGTTTAATTAGGACAGGGTTTCACTTGCAATTCAGGAAGGTAGTATTATTTTTCCAGGCATTCAAGTGGCTTCTTCTATGCATTTCCTTTCTTCACCTGAAATGGGAACTGCAGGCTCAGCCCTTTTTTCACCAAGTCAGTTATTTACACTCAGCTCTCCAGAATATACCCGGTCAACACACTTCACTATTGCAATCCCAGGATATGATGATTACTTACTATGTTACTTCATAAATATTATCTGAAAAAGAAACAGCATTTTAATGACTTTTTATTTTGAGAAAACAAAGTTACCATTAAATTAAAATGCAAGTACAAAACTGTAAAAAAAAAAGAAAAAAAGAAGGTAAAATGGAATGAAATAGAACAGAACAAAACAAATTAAAACAACTGGATAATTGGAGATCAGGATGGACAATTTCTATGGCAACTCTTATCGTGTCCTGTTTTGAATTGATCAAAGCCCAACAGTCTCTTAAAGTTGTCCTTGATAGCAGAGTGCTGGTGCTGTGCTTGTGTTTATTAACATTATATTGTGGTCAGATGGACTAGGGGTGACATGATAGCAGTGTTCCAATATTTGAGGGGCTGCTACAAAGAAGAGGGGGTCAACTTATTCTCCAAAGCACCAGAAGGCAAGACAAGAAACAGTGGATGGGAACTAACCAAGGAGAACTAGAACCTAGAACTAAGGAGAAACTTCGTAATGGTGAGAGCAATCATCTAATGGAACAGCTTGCCTTCAGAAGTGGAGGATGCTCCATCACTGAAGGCTTTCAAAAAGAGACTGGACAGCCATTTGTCTGGAATAATATAGGGTCTCCAGCTTGAGCAGGGGGTTGGACTACAAGACCTTCAAGGTCCCTTCCAACTCTGTTATTCTATGTTCTGTGTTCTGATATTTCACTTGGCATGCTTGAAATGTTCACTCACATGATTACAAGCCAGTTTTCACCCACCACCACACATATTTGAAATCTTGCACAAGATTTCTACTTTTGAGATTTCCTCTTTAGAATTCAGAATTTGTGATCTTGAATTTAGTCTATAAGTGCTACTCTGGGCTGTCCAGAGATTCACTATGAGCAATTTGTTCCTAATTTGCTCCACACTTCTGATTCCTGAAATCCAAGTTATTTTACTATTATCCCCGATCCCCAATCTGAGAAAATGAGCACCCACAACTCACCACTCTTAGTTCTCCTTCTGCAAAAGACCACTGAGATGACCATAAGGGTAAAAGCTGCAGAGAGCACAGCAATCAGGATGATGACATACAGTGGCAGAGCCTTCTTCTGAGGACCGGGAGCTGGAGTGAAACAGCAGAAATGGAGTTTTCCATCAAGTTTCTCATTATTTATTTATTTATTTATGTGACTTATATACCGCTTTAAGTGCAAGCACTCTTTAAGCGGTGTACACCAATAAGCAATGTATATATATCTATATATTTACATTGCCCCCAACAATCTGGATCCTCATTTTACCTACCCCGGAAGGATGGAAGGCTGAGTCAACCTTGAGCTGATGAGATTTGAACCACTGACCTGCTGAACACAGTCAGCTAAAGTGGCCTGCAGTACTGCACTCTAACTGCTGCGCCACCTCGGCTCTTTTCATCTTTAAGATAATTGATGCAAACCAACAGGACCTGTTGCCCAGCTGATGTCTACTGGATAGCTTTTGATTGGCCATTTGACTTGCAGTATCAGATATGCTTTGGAAATTATTAATAATAAGAGGGTCCTGCATTGTAGCAGCCTGAGGGTTTTGAGGCCTCTCCAGCAGCCTTGATGTGGCCTCTTTGCAACTCAGAGCAACAACTGAAGAAGAGAAAAGAAGCTATTTCATGGGCACTTGGTAATCAGAAAAGCAGCTGAATGAGTATTGTCCACATCTGGAGGCCAGAAGGTTGGGGAAGACTGTTGAGAAAATGGACCAGTATCCTTTCTTGGATTGGTGATCATAGTATTTGGTTTGGTATCAAGGACCACACTGGGATGTGCAATATGCACATGGTTGTTCAGGAACCATGGGTGAGCCGGAATGAAACATGCAGACTAGGTTCACACTTAATAAATTGACTTAATATACTGCCTCCTGAAACAATCAGTCAACTTTTGTCCATTCATGCTCTTCTCAGTCTTCTTCTTCCCTTCATTTTTTCCACTCAGGTTTGTTTTGCCATGCACTTCTCATCCATTCTTTTGCTAAGATAAAATCAAAGTTCATATTTGTTACTCACTTTTGTACTCAGGGCCTGATCATTCTTGATCCTGTCTCTTCCTGTTTTACTACTTGAAGAAGCCCACTCCCAGGGCATCCAACTTACTTGTCTCCTGACCTAGCCAACCTTCACCTGCCTGTTGAACGCATCCAGACAGAAATCTTTGCTTCTTTAAGCAGATCTTCATTTCAGGCTATGCATTTTCTACTGCATTTTCTGCGCCTTAATTTTTTTCTGTCCATTTTAGTAGTCCATTCTATCACACAAAATTCATCTACTTGATCTGGTTTTTCATTATTTTCATATCATAAAACTACCTTAATCTTTGATCAGTTAATGGTTAGATCCACAGTCCTTGCTGGATCATACAATCTATACCATATTTGCTGAAAATCATTTGAATTCTCAGCCAACAACATCACATTATCTGCATAAAAATATGCATGTGTTCATATTCCCAACCAACACAACTCTAACAAAACCAGAAATGCTAGTTTAAATTTTATCCCTAAATATAAAATCATCCCTCCTTTCCTTTGAGATTTATAAATGCAGCATATAATGATATAGATCTATTTGATACATATTTTTCAATCAAATGATGGAGAACTGATCTATGGTGCCTCTAACCTCTCTAAACCTCTTCAGCAATCAAGTTCTCAAGATCCAGCCACTCCTTTAATTTATCTTGGAGATGTTTGACAGAGAGTTTGCTGATTATATTTAGCAGACTTATTGGTCTGTAATTGGCAGAGTCATCTCTCTTTCCATTTTTATAAATTGGGACCACAATTGCTAAGCCCCAATCCTCTGGGATATGGCCAGAGGAGTCTATATAAGTGAATAGCACCAGCAGGACTAGTATCCACCACTCCATATTGTTCTTTGGTAGTTCAGCAGCAATGAAGTCAGCTCCTGGAGCCTTCTAGGTCCAGAGTTGGTCAATGAGGGATTTAATTTCAGACTCTGAAACTGGAGGCCTCTCAGGTAAATCCTTCATTGTATACCTTATTCTCTCACTGGAGGGGTCTCATACATTCTCCAAAAGTGGAGTTCCCAGGTTGTAGGGGGTATATGGGAGTCTAATGGGGTATAGATTCTTTCAGAGTGGCAAGCTATTAGAGGCTTAAGAATAAAGAATAAAGAAGAGTTCTTTTATTTTCCTGCCTCAATAAACTGTTCCCAGGAAGACATTGTGTCCTGTCTCTTAAGCAATCAACTGCTTAAATTGTTTTTTGAGTGTGAGTTGATGTTTAAATTGTTTTATTGCCATTTCCAGTCTTACTTTTGTACACCTTATATGCCAAGGTAAGAGCTTTTTTGGCTTCTACACAATCCTTATCAAACCATGGTTTGTAGGCAATGCAGGGCCTCTTAGCTGAGAAGTTTTGGTCATGTGCTAGTAATGGTTGTAGCTCATGAACTAGGTTTTTATATAGTTCTAATAAATCTTGAGTAGAGTTGGCTGATACAAAGGCTAAGTGGATTTTTTGAAAGTTGTTCTCTGATAGGGCTCCCCTTATCTTCTGGTCAAGTTGTTGGGTCCATTTGACCCATCATCTTGTTAGGCCTGCTGTAGAAATTGCAGGAATAAAACAGTCCTCGGAGGGCATCTGCTAGATAAAGGGCTTCGTGTGTATACACAGTGGTAGATGATCACTTTCTAGATAAGGTAGAACTTCAAAAATTTCAATGTACGTAATGTAGTAAGTCCATAGAAGTTAGGATATATCGTAATCAATGGTGCTAGTTTTGGTCCCTGCCATAAATATAAACTCTCCAGGGGATAGCCGCCAGCCCATGAGCCATTGAATATGAAAAAGTTAAATTTATTCACCATCTTTGCAAGACAGAGGCCTACATAGTTAGCACTAATGTCTTTAGAGAGTCGTGTGAGGGAGGTGTTTCCATCCTGTTGCATTTGGCAACCAACCTGCAACTCCCTTTTTATGCAAAACATTTCTTAATTCAAGACAATCCACTAACAACACGGACTTCAGGAAGCGTACAATAAAGTTTCTTTCTTATATTCACAAATATCTCGGGGTCACAGAGCAAAAGCTGCATTTCCCTCCTGAAACTCTGACCTCTTCGCCTTTTTCAGAATTGGCTAAACACCTTCTCAGGCACAACTGAACAAACCAGGGAGTGCACAACAGGTAAAACTGGCAGAGTTTCCATTACACTGTCTTGACTTTTTGATTGCATTCTGCAGATACTCCTGCAACACACTAACTCCCTGAAGTGTTTTGCATTCATTCTTGCCATCCCTCCTTTTGTGTAGGAGAACAATAACAACTTGGAAGAATTATCAGATTCTTTGTACCATAAAATCTGCATTTTACTCATAGTCCTAGCATTTCTTATTACCTATGTTCACCATTGCCCAGAGCTTTTTTAAAAGTGAAAATAAATAGTCAGAGGTCTATTGGTTGTATTTTTGTGTGTGTAAAAAAACACATCCTTTTTTTCTTGTGTAGGAGATTTCAAAGATGGCAAAATTGTGATATCAAAATGATCAGTTCCAGGGGTATCTGCAGAGAGGATTAAAACCTGTGTCAAGATTGAAGCCCAACCCTTGTATGTCACATCCCCATACAAACATCAGGTTTCAATTCCTGCACAGCGCTGCATCCATCTTGCAAACTCTCCTGCCAGTTCTAATTAATTTTTTAAAATGATACTAAGTAGATCCCATAATGAGCATCAGGGCATCCTGGATAGTTTTCAATTGTTAATGTCTTTTTTTCTTTTCCTTTTAGGGCATTGGCCAGCAAATAGAAGAGGGAGAAGGAATGTTTGTAGTAGTAGTTTGCCACCAAAAGTGCTCATGACATCTTATAACCAGCAGTAAAGAGTGCTCTAGAGCAGAGTTTTTCAAACCTGACCACTTTAAGATGTGTGGAATTCTGGGAGTTGAAGTCCACACATCTTAAAGTGGCCGCCTTTAGCAGAGCACTGCTCTAACTCATCACCTGCCTTCTTCCCACCTCCAGTGACATAGGTGGTCCCCAACTTTTCCCTCTTCTTACTTTTTCTCTGTTGTCCTGAAGAGTTCCCAAAAGCTGTGGATGAAGTCACCATTCCATCTGGGAGATAAGTCAGAGAGTCCAAGTCAGCAGGAAGGAACTAAAGCCAGTGAGATCCAGGCTGCACAATGGAAGCTTTTGTGCCCACTGCCCCACCTGTAGTGCCAAGAGGATGCCCCCATCCCCAGAGACCCAAAGGTGGTCTGCTCCAAGGGTAGAGCAAAGGATTTTTTTGGCAGAGAGGTAACTGCTCCACCACCATGGCATACTCTGCAGGCAAGAGGTGGGTGAACAGAACTATCCAGAGCTGTTAGGGGTTAGCTAAGGGAAGCCAGTGGAGGCCAGAGTCAGCCCATACATACAACTTATGGGCTCTTCTGCACATTCATTGCTGACTGGAGGTGACATTTGGAGGACATAAATAGATCACGCCCCTTCTACTCCCCCCGACCCATCACAGGGGCAGCCTCTACTTCCACTCCTGAAGAGGGGGGGGGAATCCCTGCTTCTTCCAGCACAATCCAAGCCACGGAGGCTGTTTGAGGGTGGGGACCAGTTTTGCTCTTACTGGCCCCCAGGAACAACAGGGGGCATGTCCTCACCTGCTCCTGAGCAAGGATTTGCAGGACCATAAACTTTCCCACAGGGCTAAGGAGCCTTCTCATCTGTTTCTCTTGCCAACCCTGGGGGAGATGGCAACTCAGGGGACAGCTGAATCTCTCCCTGCAAACAGGTAAGGTCACCTGAGTTTTGGGCTGGGCACAAATAGCACTCTCATCCATGAATTAGATGTTACAATGCCTGAACCATCCAGGAAAGCAGCTTTACTGGAGGCCACATCGTCTAGTTCAGTGTTTCTCAACCAGGGCAACTTTCAGATGGGTATGCTAGCTGGGGAATTCTGGGGGTTATAATACTTCCATCTTCAGGTTTCCAAGATTGAGAGAAACACTGCTGTAAATGATCTCTGTGGAAATTCAAAGCTACATTAACCTGTCAACTCTACAGTGAACGTAGCTGCAGCCATCTTGCTTGTTCTAAGTTGCCACATGAATGGGAGAGGGTGCAGAGTATCTTTGATAAGTCTAAACAATTCTGTGTCCCGTAGGAACCAAGGTCATTCTGTCGGTTATGTGAGAGGGTTGGGCAGGGTGTTAGAAAGCCCGCCAAACTATTTTATTGGGGAACATAACTGCTTGCATAGCACTAGGGTGGGAAGTTAGACTTTGTAATAGTGTAACTCTTTGGAGGGAATTTCAGACTTGGTTTCACTTTTGACCGTGCCAATATTTTGTATCTAATAAACATGTTTTTGAGGAAGCCTTCAATCTCAGAGTTCTGATTTATTTGGCCCTGTCTATTGGAACCATGACCTGACTAGAATAAACATCAGCTGACAAGACCTACTGTGTGAGATTATTATTTTGTTTTATTTTGTTAAGGAAATCCAGTGGAAAGCCAGGCCCTGATCTAAAGCTGGTATCCATGGAGGGAGGGGAAGGAAGTGATGGCTATACAAGATGAAAGCAACATTCAAATGATGCCAATTATAGCACTGTCCAATGATACCATGGCACACGTGAGGTCATTGTGCCTTGTGCCTAGTGCCAAGGCTTTCTCTGTTTCAGGTATTCAGAAAAGTCAAGCTGGAAGCCACAACCATATCATCAAAGCCCAACACCTTTTTGTGTGTATTGCATGACTGTAGCCACCATCTTGACTTTTTTTTTAACCCTCTCCCTGTGGACAGCTGTGCTCCATCTCACCTTCCAGGTACAGGACCAAGAGTACCCCCATTTCCAGCGGGCCACCAGTGGCACTGGGGCTATGGAAATACCAGGCTGGGGAAAGGTTGTAGTCCCTCACCTGTCCTGGTGTGGGTCACTTCAAGCCTCCTGGAGGTTCCTGCTACAAAGTTCCAGACTGGCTTCCCTGTTTCTGCCGGGATGTGAAATGCAGATTAATTGAGCATCTTCCGAAATAGATGGGAGCCTCCCTTACAGAGACAGAGACAGGAATGACAGAAGAAATTGGGGTGCCCTTGGGAGTCAAGGTGCTTGGTCAAATCTCCCCCCCCCCTTTTTTTATAAGCCTCACATGACATGAGATCAGCTACAAGGGCTTTCAGGGACAGTGGGCTCCCCTGCCTCCCATGCCCACGCTTCCAATGCAGCCACTGCATTTCAATGGCCACTGAGCACCCCACCTGTTGGGTGTCCCCTTGACTCAGCACCTGGTCCTCCAGTGGAGACTTCAGAGGCATCTAGAAGGAAAATGCAGCAGAGTTACTGCCTGCCTCACGGCTCCCAGGAACTGGGGGTGCTTGGGCAGACCCTCAGGGAATGAACCGTTTGGTAAAGGCTTTTCCTGCCGTTCCACTTGAAGATTAATACCGCTCATTAGCAAAAGATGGCTGCTTGATTCAAGAGTGCCTACAGGAGAGGGGTAAACATTCAAGATAGGGGCTGCAACCACACAATCAACACTTGGCTTCTTTGTTCCAAAGAAGCAGTGGCTTCAATTGCATGGTTGTGGTCATCATCTTGAGTTTATTCATCTCCTCCTTTCCCTGGATATGTGAATGCACCCAGAAGAAGAAAGAATTAAAACACTATGATTTGACTGCAAAACCTCATAATCAGATCTTACTGATTTCTTTTCCCTTCAGAGCTTTCAACGATGGCCCATCTTCAGAGATACAAAACTCTCCTAATATGAGAGATGAGTTTTGGTGTAACTGGTAAATGCTTCATTGGACTAGTAACCAAACAAGCTGCTTCCTGTCCAGATGGGAGGGCTTGGACCCCAAGTCCTGTCTAATGTAAGAACCCACCCCACTTTGCATCTTAAGAAGACAGAACTCTTGGAATAATTCTTCCAACAGGCATCCTTTATTAAGAGAAAATGGTTGCAGGCATTCTAGACAGGACTTGGGGTCCAAGCTCTCCCATTCAAGGTTTTAAGAGGTTCCCTGGTAGCCCCACCCAATCACCCCCTTCTTCCAGCGACAGTCTCAGGCATTACACTCCCACCCCCTTTTCCTTACTGCCGGCTGGAGGGAGACTTCAGAGAGAACTACATGAAAGGTAATAGCCCCATTCTTATGGTTAGCCCTTTTGGCGATATCCACATTCAGTTCCTTTGAAGTGTACCGAAGGAAGTGAGGGCCATAAAGCCCCTTTGTTCACCCCCTTCCCTTCACCGTGTGGCAGAATCCAGGGAAGGCAGAAATGGGGTTTTCTATAGTTGATAACTAGAGATGAAATATAATTGGATTCTGACACTTCTTGGCAAACCACAGAAAGGGTGGCAGCCCTATACCAGAGGATTATCTTTCAGGCACTTTTGGAAAAGTCACCAGAAAAGAAAGTTTGGAGCAGGCACCAAGTGTGGGAATGATGAAGATGATGGACCTGCCCTGAGAGACCCAGATTCAGGTCCACTCAGAGCCAGAAAAGCTTGCTGGATGATTTTGGGCCTCTTAAACTGACCTTCTTTGCTGCTTCCTGTTATAAAGAAAAATGGAAAGAAGGAGCTACGCCCTTTGTTTGAACTTCTGAGGTGGGAACATACAAACCTAAAGGTATAAGCAAAGCCTGTCTGTGAACTGGTGCTTCCATATATCCCTGAACTTGTAGCACCAGTAGGAAAACAGAATGGTTGAAAGCCTGCAGGTCGTTTACACAAATTAGAAAGGCACAATGTGCTTTGCTTGCTTTTGGTTTAGCCCCTGGCTGTTATGATGTTTAAACCAAGCTTTAGTTCTTAGCATGTGATGTCAACCAAACCAGTTATGTTTTGTTCAATAGTTCATGCTAAAGAAAATCCTGTACAAACATGTATGAATCTGACCTAAGTTTGCTTCCACTACAGCTCGTCCTTGACTTACAACCACAGTTGGGACCACAATTTCTCTTGCTAAGCAAGATGGTTACTAACTGTGTTATGCCTGAATCTCTGACTATTTTTACCATGGTTGTTAAGTGAATCATGCATTTTGCATGTTAAGTGAACTTGGTTCCCCCCCTCCCCCCTTGACCTTGCTTGTCAGAAGCCAGCTGGGAAGGTTGCAAATGGTGAGCACATGACCCTGAGACACTGCAATCATCATAGCTACATGCTGGTTGCCAGCTGCCCACATTTTGATCACATGATCCTTCTGTGACAGTTGCTTTTTCTGGTGTAATTTTGAATAGTGTTAAATGAATGGTTGTGAGGATTGCCTGTACTATATTAATAAACAGAATTAAGAGCCTGGACCTCTTCATAAAGATGTGGGTGTGAGGAAAACATTTTCCATGGATCATCCAACCCTGAATGCGATCCTTTACATGACATGACATTTCCGAAGCATCCTCACCTTTCACTGTCAGCTGAAAGGAGATGCTCTGCTCCTTTTGTACATTAAGCCTATTTTCAGCTGTGCAGAAGTATCTGGCGGAATCCAACACCTGCAGGTCGTCAAAGGCCAGTACAGTGCCTCTCCGTAGCTCTTCGACTTCTCCCCCAGGGCCTTCTTTGTACCATCGGTAGTTGATGGGCAGAGATCCATTGGCTGAGCAGGTCAGATTCATCTGGGTCCCACTGGGCAGAACCGATTCCTGGCTGCTGGCTTTAATGACTGGTTTGGAGGCTGGAACTAGAGAGCAGAAGACTTGCTAAGCTTTCTCAAAGTTCCTGTAGCAATTAAGACCTAAACAAAGGGGGAATTGCAAGCTCATCAATGAAAGGGAAATATGGCTCCGAGGCCTTATTAATTCAAAGAGAAGCTGAGAGTCTTTCCTGACTCTAAGTACCATTTTCTTTGTAAGTGGAAAATTAAAAGTATGAATATTCAAAGCAAAGCTGTGCTGCTTCTGCTTCTGAGGAGAAGTCAGATTTGTGGTTATGATGCATCCTTCTCTCACCTAAATTCTTCTCACAGCTTTGAAGTTCTTGAGAAGGAGCACGCCAGAAAAGAAATAATTAAATCAAAATGGAATGCTATAAAATTAAGCAAAAGGCCTTGTAGGTTTTTGCATGAGGGTCTCTGGGCACCCTGCAGCCAGACTGACACATTTCTGCCTAAGATTACCTTTTACCACCTTGAGCTGGAGGGTCTTTTCTCTAGTGATTCTGCTCATGTTTTGGGCTTCCCACTCAACTAAGCAAATGAAAGAACCAATATCAGTCATTTCAAGTTCCTTGATGTGGAGAGAAACATCTCCGGGGGGTTTCTGTGCAATGTTGACTCGGTCTCTGAATGCAGCCAAGAAGATGTGGTCCCCGTAGGCATCATGCAGCAAGATAGAACGAGGAGTTTCACCTGGCAGGAAGAACTTCCAAGTCACCTTGAGCTGCTTGAAATCACGGGAGGGTTCATACACACAGGGCAAAGTGGCCGGAGCTCTCCAGATCCCGTTGACAATGTGGATGCCAGTCAAATCCAGGGCAGCTGGAAAAGGAGGAGGAATGTAAGCAGAAGATTTAGATGCTGCTGACACCAGAAGGTGAATGCAAGGTTCTCAGGAGAAGAAAGGCTGCAGGGGAGTAGAGACTGTTTCATTGTCTCATTGAAGGCTAAAGGGGGAGAAATTTGTCAGGCAAGGATTGCTTTCTCCAGCACATTTTCCTTTAGCTCTTGCATCTCACAGATAGCATCAGCTGCCCTTCCACTAACTTGTATCCTCCACAGCAATCATTTTCTGTACATTTGGCAGAACCTACTTTATTTGCAAGAATCAGTCAGGAGTAGATACACTTACAGTTGCTGTTGTTATAATTTTACAACACTCAGAGTCAAAAAGCGTATGTGAGGGTTTGATCACATAAAAGCCAGTTGGAGTTTTCAGTTGTACCATCTTGGTTTTTGTGACCATGCCCTGTGGACCCCCTGGAGGATGAAAACTAAAAAGTACCTCTGCATTTACTGAGCAGAAAAGGGTTACCTATTCCTGATCTAAATCAATCTAAATCCAACTATTCCTGATCTAAATCTTGCTTGTGAAGCAAGAAGAGAAAAATGAAAAAGAAAGAAAAGCTGTGATGCTGGAACAGGGTGCAGAATGAGTTATTGCAGGGGGGGGGGGCTCCTGCATTGTGAACTTGGTTAGAGAAAGGGAGATTCTGTTGGCTCAGAGAACAGGAAGGCAGCAGAAAAAGCCTCAGTCACCAAAAGGGCCTTTCATTTGTCTGATCATTCTTTGATTTGTGCCCAGACCAAAGAAATCAGAGGAATTTTGCTTCTCCCTGATTTCCCCTTAAGCCAAAAGAAGAACCACAGCCAAACGGCCTTCCTTTATCATCTGCAAGTAACAAACAAGATGCAAGGAAGTGATGGTTAGAGGACTGGAGGCTAAAACATACAAAGAAGGGTTGCAGGAGCTGAGTAGGTCTAGTCTAGTGAAAAGAAGGACTAGGAATGACATGATAACATCTTCCAATATTTGAGGGGCTGCCACAAAGAAGGTCTACTTATTCTCCAAAACACCTCAGGATAAGAAGTAACAGATGGAATTATAACAAAGAGAGATCCAACCTAGAATTAAGGAGAAATTTCCTATCAGTGAGAACAATTAACCAGTGGAACAACCTGCCTCCAGAAGTTGTGGGTGCTCCATTCCTGGAGGCTTTTAAGAAGAGACTGGACGGCCATTTGTCCTGCTTGAGTAGGGGTTGGACTAGAAAACCTCCACGGTCTTTTTTTGTTATTCTATTATAATAAGAAAGATTCAGCTGAGGAACACAGTCCTCAGTCCTCAGTGATCTTTTTTATTATAGCAACTAGTTCAGATTCTAGTCTGCAGACGCTGAGGTGGGTGTTGCTGCTATAAGGAGGATCCTTTTTTCCTCCATCCAGAGACCTTACAGGTTTGGGATATAGAATGATAGAGGTTTTCTAGTCCAACCTTATTCTATCCTGGTCACATAGTTGTCCAGTCTATTTTTGAAAATCTCTAGTGGTGGAGCATCCACAAGTCCAGGAGGTAAGATGCTCCATTGATTAATTTTTCTCACTGTCAGAAAAATTCTTACTTCTAGATTGGATTTCTCTTTAACAAGCTTCCACATATTACTTCTTGTTCTCCCTTCAGGTGTTTTAAAGAATAAGATAGTCCCCTCTTCTCTGAATCAGCACCTCAAATACTGAAAAACAGTTATCATGCCCCCCCCCTTCCAATCTTTCTCCTTGATAGGCTAAACATACCTAGCTCCCTCATACAATTTAGCCTCCAATCCCTTTATCTTCTTTGTTGCTCTTCTCTGCACACTTCCGATTTTTAAAGATGAGGAGGAAACATAACAATCATTTTTAAATTTCATCTCTCTTGAAAGATGGAATTGAAGAGCACTTGCTCTGGTTTTTGCTTTGTTTTTGTTTTTTGACTTTGTGGACAAGAAATGCAAAGTTGGTACTGAATGTGAGCAAATATTGGATAGCAATCAGTCTGAATATTGCAAAATTACAAAGATGTCTGGAAACTAAACACCACCTGAATATTCCAAAAGAAACTGTAGAACTTGATGAGAAGAAAATGGCCTTTTGTACATTTTTGTGGTGTGAGAAGACTTGCCTTTCAGCTTCCTATCTAGTCAGTTATTGCTCAGCAAAACCAAGAGAAGCTCATATCAATAGAAGAGAATATACGTAACTCAGGATTCAACTATGGAATCCTTGGTTTCACTACAGTACCTGATTAGGTAACACTATTTGAAGATGTTGGCTAGCTATGAAATCAAACATCTGCAAGCAAAAAATTAAGTTCAGAGAGCACCAAGGACTTCCCAGAAGCTTCTATTGTTGCAGAAAAGTTGCATGCATAAAAGATTTGATAGAATGCCTGACTAATCAAAATTCTACAAAAATTGCTATTATTGCCTGATAATTTATTTATTATTTAACATGATTTCAAAATGTATCAAAAACTTTGGTGAACGGAAACTAAAGGAACAAGTAAAAGAGTGCAACTGGCTTCTATCTTCAAATGAATGAATTCAATCATGTTTGAAGTTTATCCATCTTAATTGAATTTATGGAGGAGTTCTGTGTTGCAAATATGCTTATTTGCCAGTCTCTTCCTATCAGAACCATGGGAACAGAAACATTTAAGTTGATTAATTGAGTTATGGAAAACCATGATATCTTTCGGCACTTATGCTGCCTCATGGCCACCAATGCAGAAACAGTTAGGCTCCAGATGTATTTTATCAAAACTTCATTAAATTTCAAAAATATATAAAATACAAAAAAGCAAAGAAAGGGAGTTAGAAAAAAAAGGAAAAGTAGGCAACTGCAAAATTAGGAAGTGCAAGCAACAGCAACAAAAGAAAGCTATAGAAAAAAGGAACTTCCAATTTTCTTCAATATAGATGAAAACCTATAAATCAGCGATCCTTTAAACTCGAATGGCAGCACTTTTACCTCCTTCAGTGCATGTAATCATTAACAGTCCAGTGGGCAGCCAATCTGAAACCATCCGCATATTAAGGGTAATCCCTGCTCTCTTTGCAGTCATAAACTGCAGTGAATTGCATCCCTTAAGAACTCAAAACTGCACTCAACAAGACAGTTAAAATGATGGATTTTATACAGGTAAGACCAAAATATTTACTGTGAAATAAGGAGTCTGCCTAACTCATTGCTGAAGTGAGATGCCAACAAACCAACAAATGTTGGTTTGATTCTATGAACCGCAAGAAGAGACACACTTTTCCCATCGGAAGATTCTTTTAACTTAGGTTGAATGCAGAAAGTGGGATATTGTAGTGATATTGGACTTAGCTGAATGGCATTGATATTTCACCGAAAGGTACAAATATATTAACTTCAAAATAAACTTAAAAGTTTTAAACTTCAAAGTAAAGTTAAACTAAAAATCAACTTTGGAGTGAGCAAATTTTTAAAAACAATCTTGATTACTTTCCAAATCTCAGCAAGTTTTTATTAACATAAGAAATTTCCATCAAAATCCTGGTGATGCCACACCTGCCTGACTTCTGTGTCACAGTCAGCAAAGACTTCCCTCCTCCAATCCAAGTAGTGGACTGGCCTAGAACCTTTTTTGGGGAGGGGTACTTCCTAATGCCTTTGAACTGCCATTAAGGGAGATGGGATGACTGATGGACATTTCTATTGACTTCACATTACAAACATTTCCTCATGCAGAACTGGAAAATTTCTGGATACAGCTTTTAAGAGCAAATCTTGAAATTGCCTGTCAAGTATTGAGATATTTTATGATGTTTACATGGGAAATCCATTCTTTACATGCAGAGACAAAAAAAAAAACCCCTAGAAGGTGAACTCACAGAATGAAATTTAAAGGTACAGTTTGAGATTAGATATGAGATGAACCTCTTGACAGTAGCACCATAAAGTTACGCTTCTGAACTCACCTTTCCCAGGGACAATGGCCACCAAACCCAGAATCCACAGCTGGACCCATCTTTCCATATTATTTGCCACTTTCTTGCTCTCCACTGGCGAGATGCTGTCCCTCTTGAGACCAGGAGTGAAGTAAGCACAACTTCCTTTCTCCTTTTTGCTTCTCCTTCCTTCCTTCCTTATTTATTTACTTTTTGAAAGAATCTCATAAGAGGCTGAGTGTCCCCAACACAATGGGCGTGAACTGATTAAAGAGGCAGCCAGTGAAATAAGTAATAAGTAATAATAGTAAAGTTGGAAGGGACCTTGGAGGTCATCTAGTCCAACCCCCTGCTCGGGCAGGAAACCCTACACCATTTCGGACAAATGGCTGTCCAGTCTCTTCTTAAAAACTTCCAGTGTTGGAGCATTTACTGCTTCTGGAGGCAAGCTGTTCCACTGATTAATTGTTCTCACTGTCAGGAAGTTTCTCCTTAGTTCTAGGTTGCTTCTCTCCTTGATTAGTTTCCACCCGTTGCTTCTTGTCCTGCCTTCAGGTGCTTTGGAAAATAGCTTAATTCCCTCTTCTTTATGGCAGCCCCTGAGATATTGGAATACTGCTATCATGTCCCCCCTTGTCCTTCTCTTCGTTAAACTAGACATACCCAATTCTAGCAACCGTTCCTTATATGTTTTAGCCTCCAGTCCCCTAATCATCTTTGTTGCTCTTCTCTGTACTCTTTCTAGAGTCTCAACATCTTTTTTACATCGTGGTGACCAAAACTGGATGCAGTATTCCAAGTGTGGCCTTACCAAGGCATTGAAGAGTGGTATTAATACTTCACGTGATCTTGATTCTATCCCTCTGTTAATGCAGCCTAGCACTGTGTTGGCCTTTTTGGCAGCTGCAGCACACTGCTGGCTCATATTTAAGTGATTGTCTACTAGGACTCCAAGGTCCCTCTCACAGTTACTACTATTGAGCATGGTGCCACCTATCATGCCACCTTGAAAGCTTTGACAGACCTTGGTGGTCAGGACTGCTTGGAGACTCTGGGATATTATCCTTGAGATAAGACAGCTGAAGGGAG